TCTAGTAAACATACAAGTGTCTTCAAGCGATCTTTCTAAATCATGTTTGTCTTCCAGGAAATATCCATTGCATCCCTCTGGTTACAGATAACTAGGCCTGAAATATTTAAGCTAAGTGGTTGCTACTTTTAATTTGGTTATGGACATCCATTTCTTCAATTCCATCCACTAAACTTGCAGGTACACTATTTATCTTTATCTTTATCTTTAATCTTGATTATCTTATATTCTTATTGATGTGTTAGGGTAGAGTGCCCAAATTCACCTCTTAACTATAGTTGACAAATCCAATTACCTTCAATATAGAATGGAAACAAATAACCCCACTAAGTAATTGAATGGGACAAATAACTAAAAGTTTAATATGTAACATTATTCCATGTTATGACTCCATTAAAGTCTGACTAAATATATATTGTTAAAATATTGTGCGACCAATCTCCCAAATGAAAGTATCACCTTAAACAAACAATTCTAAATCAATGTCTTCCATTGTTGCAAAGCTGTTATTAGGTTGGTGAAGGAATCTCTAAGTCATCTAGAGTTCAACAAAATTATCTTTTTCAAATTCAAAATTCTTTAGAAATAAGGAATATTGAGAAAAACTTTCCTCAAAAGAGAAGGCAAATGATTAAAACTTATTTTTAGAATAGAAAAAAAAAAAAAAAAAAAAAGATTTAAAGAGAATAATTTCTTGGATGTTGATCCCAAAATGTTAATTTTAAATCTAATTTATAAGACGACATTACGTATTATTTGATCCAACCTTTGAGATTATTATTGGTCACTTTATAATAAAGTAACTTTGCAACTTTCTCATTGTCTTTGTAGATTCATTCATTAGCATTTGCCAAGCATCTTCCGAGAAATTTCTGGCTATAATTTGTACAAGTTCTCTCTCCTCTTCTCCTTGGCAGACTCACTTGTTATCATCTCACAGAATTAGCCTTGCAATTGAACTAATTCGCTGCTATTTCTAATTTTCTTGGCCTGCCTGATTTGGCTATCAATTAGGGTCCATTTTCTACAATTTCTTCAGTGAAACCTAGAGGTATACCATTTAGATCTCCAATCTCAATTCATTTATATTCTCTTTGAGATATAAAATGAAAAATATCTAAATTTTCTTATAGATGCATGTCTTTATTGACGAACAAACTTCATTCTAGTTAGAATACTCATAAATTTTAATTTGTTTTAGCAAAAATTGTTAGATTCTTCGAATGAATTTATCTAACTTGTGTTCTTAAGGTACATATTAAAATGTATTAAATGTATTAAATTTATTACTTTATAATAAATTTTTATAGAAAAATGTAAAAGTAAGACATTATTTTTAATATCAATACTACTTGGATGATTTTAATTAATTGGGTAGTTGATAAATTTAAAGTTAACTTTTCTTTTTTATATAAATTAATTAAAAAAATGTAGTTAATGCTTTCTTTAACTTGTATTTTAAAAGTATAAATTAGATAAATCTTTTTTAAATCATCTTTCTTTATCAATTTTTCTTTTTCAAATGGTCTGCTTCTACCAAATTAATTGGTAGCTACTTAATTAATAATGTGAGTTCTCTTTTTTTAGTACTTCTAGTAAACATACAAGTATCTCCTTATGATCTTTCTAAATCATGATTGTCTTCCAGGAAATATGCATTGCATCCCTCTAGCTATAAATAACTAGGCTTGTGATTGGCTGCTACTTTTAATTTGGTTATGGACATCCGTTTCTTCAATTCCATCGGCTAAACTCGTAGGTAAGTTATTTATTTTTATTTTCAATCTTATTTATCTTTTGTTCTGGTTGATATATAAAGATAGAATGTCTAAATTTTACCCTTTAATTATAGTTGACAGATCCAACCTTCTATTCTACACATAACATAAGTAAATTGCCCCGCTAAGTAATTGGATGGAACAACTAACTAAAAATTTTTTGGTGCAAGACAACTAACTTAAATTTAACCTATAATAACATCATGCCACATCATTACTCTATTAGAGACTTATAATATGAAATTTTTTATTCTTACATACTAAGAGTGTAACAAATATACTTCTTATAATAAAAAACTATTAAAGTGAATATTAATTTTAGTGTTATCGTCATATGAATACATTTAATTAGACAGTTGACAAATTAAATATTACTTTTTATTTTTTTTTTTAGGTTCTTAACCTATTTATGACACAAATTAGACAAACCCATTAAATATATGTTGTTGAAATATATTTTGCAACCAGTCTCCCGAACAAAATTATCACCTTAAACAATGTTAAATCATGCACTGCATCTTACATTTTGCAAGATTAATTACCAATGTCATTAATTTTTACAGAGCTTTTATTAGGTAGGTAGGTGAAGGAATCCCTGACAACTAAATCATCTTTTTCAAAGATAAAATTTTTTGGAAATATTGAACGGTGAGGAAAATATTTATTTCAAAGAGAAGGCAAATGATTGAAACTTATTTTAATATGGATAAAAAACGAAAATAGTATATTTACCTATTTACTTTTAGGATTACCGAAATATACTTTTATATACCTTAAAATAAATCTCCTCTCATACTTTTAAGTTGAATGAAATTAACTTTTTTTCGTTTCAGTTGAAATAAATTTAGCAAAATTTAATATATGACGTAATTATATGTTATCATTTTGTCTTTCCCCTTCCATACCTAGGTCTTTCTTTTATATGTTATAATAGGAAGCAGTTGCACAATTATAGATCACTTCATAATAATAAACTAATTTTGCACCTTTCTTATTGTAACCTCATTGGATATCTTTTTGCAGATTCATTTCATTGGCATTTTTCAGGCATCTTCCAGGAAATTTCTAGCTATAATTTGGACAAGTTCTCTCCTCTTCTACTTAGCCAACTACAATTTTTATCACCTAACAGAATTGGCCTTGCAATTGAATTGATTTGCTGCTACGTCTAATTCTCTTGACCTAGCTGATTTGGTTATCATTATCCATTTTCTGCAATTTCTTTGGTGAAGCATACAGGTATACCATCTAAATTTTCGATCTTGATTAAGTTATATTTTCTTTAAGATATAAAATGAAAATATCTAAATTTTTTAACAAATACGTATAACTTTATTAACAAAAACTCTTCACTCTAATTAGGATATTCCTCATTTTTAAATTGTTTTTAAATTGACTTTATACGCTGATGGGCTGCCACTTGTAATTTGGTTGGCTTAATTTGGTTATCCTCATCCATTTTTTCAATTTCTTATGCTAAACTCACAGATAACACTTATTATCTTGATCTTCAATTTTGACTTTATTATGCTCGCATTGATGTATAATGGTGAATGACCTAAATCCATTCTTCAAGTGACTCTGTTTTCTAATGAAAGATCCAATTAATAAAAAAAGAAACCATCAAGATTCATTGATACGAGGAGGCGTGGTCTGACAAGTCCAACTCATTTGTTGTTTGTTGTAAGCAACAACCATAAGGACTCGAATATTTGCATATTTTATTTATAAAATAAAAAAAGATATTTATAAGTAAATATAAATTTATTTATATATAAATTTTATATATTATATTTATATAAAATAAATTAATTTTTTATTTTTTATTTTTAATAATTAAAATTTATTTATTTTTATTATATTTATTAAAAATAATTATTTTTTATTTAAAAATTATCATATATTTTAATTATTAAAAATTAAAAAATAAATATTTAAAGTTTTATTTGATATAATATATATAATTTATATTTGAGTGAATTCAATTCTTTATAAATTGTTATTAAAAGAGCAATAATAAGAATGACAAAAGTTTTAAATTAATAATATAACTTATGCTATATTATTAAATTATTGATATGTATAATTTTAACGGTTTAAAAAATAAAAAAAAATAAAAAATTATATAAAATTTATATTTTAATATTTTAAATAATATAATATAAATTATATTATTAATTTTATATAATATTAAATTTTAGGTTAAATGTCAATTTTGTCCCTCAACTTAAGGTTTTGCACAATTTTCATCCTTTAAATTTTTTTGTACTTTTTTAGTCTCTTAACTGTGAAAAATATACTTTTTTTGTTGTTTCGTCAATTGATCCGTTAAATTTATTTGAATTTACATATTTTAATCCCTCAACTTTTAATATATATACTTTTTTCGTCCCTCAACTTATTAAAAATGTTTAGATTAAGATAGATTTAATGAATAAATTGATGGAAAACTAACAAAAATACATTTTTCATAGTTAAAGAATAAAAAAAATACAAAAAATTAAGAAAAAAAAATTTTGTAAAATTTTAAAGTTAAAGAATCAAAATTAACATTTAACCTAAGTTTTAATTTTATTTATCATTATTCTAATTAAAAATTACAGTGACCACAATAAGTTAGTTGAATCCAGCAAGTTCACGCCTATGGAGATAATATTATTTGTTGGGCCCATATTATTTAAAGCAAACCGCCTCTTGATTGAGTCGACGGCTATATTGTACTCCAATTATTCTGTCCATGCAATGACCATCACAACCCTATTGAAGAAAAGCAAAACAATATCACTACAATATTAAAAAGTTGCAATAGATGTAATTAGGAAATTTGATTTGTAAGAAGTTCAAATTTTGTCACATTTTCAGATAAAATGTTATTCTAATGTTTTATACTTTTTATATCTCAAAATAATAGATAATTTTTATTTTTATTTTATGATTAAAAATTTAAGATAATTTTTATTTTTATTTATTTTATTTTTTAAAAATAAAAACAATAATACCATATCAACCTATTAAGAATTTGGCATAATTTCTTCTTGAGATTTTAAGTTTAATTTTTATAATGTGCACAGTTAATTTAACATTATGTTACTGTTTAATTTTATTTAATAATAATTGATTTACACCATCAATATGTAATGCAATAGTGGATACATGATTCACTCTTTTAAGTATCACATTCAAAACAGTCATTTTACATGCCATATCAACCTAAATAGTCTCTCTCGCTACTTCATCCATCTCCTTCAACCATCCAAAGCCTCTCTCTTTTTCCCATCCTCTTATTGTGTTACTGTTCCATCCTTGCAGTTATTTTCTAGAAAATATCTTCCTTGCGATTCCAGCTTTAAGCATTAAAGCAAGGGTATGCATCTTAATTAATCCCTAGCTATAAATGGCTAAATTACTTTTACTCAAATTTCATTTTATTATTTGCAATCTTTTGATGGATATATCTCTTCAGATATTACTTCTATAAATGTGTGTTATTATTTTTTCCATTTTACATTGACCAATCCCTATATATACCATTATATTGACTAAACCAGAGATATAATATTAGGTGTTTTGATGGATATATTTGTTCATATCATTATTTTCAAGAGTGTGTGTCATTAATTTTTTCATTTTTACATTGAACGATCTCTATATATACCATTTTATTGACCAAATCAAACATATAATATTAGGTGTTTTAATTAGTACTATTTAAATATATTTTTATTTTAAAACTTTTTATTAGTTGTGTTTTAATTCATTAGAGGATCTAATTATTCTTAATTAAGCTATGTTTTTAACTAATATAATGATAATTTTCCTAACTTTTGTTTTATTGTTTTTTTCAATTTAATATTTTATTTATTGAAAATAAATTTCTAGATATTTTATCAAATTAAGCTCAATTGGTCTCCCTATAAAACCCTACAACTTTTTGACTTTGAGCATCACTAAAGAAGGAAAACCAGACACATAGCTAATTAGGATATGTATATATATACTAGTACTTTCTAATTAATAACTTTACTTCTTCAATTCTTTGAAGATCTAAATCGAACCCTATGGTATATATTTTGAGTGTTTTCTTTATATCATCTTTTCTATTTTCAATACCACGACAATGCCAACATGTGAAACTAATTAATCAATCCATTAGGATAGAATACTAATTTGATGATGGTCAAATGAGTGTGAGGTATTCAATGGATTAGTCTAATTTATGCTTCAATTTGCTTCTCTCTCTTTTGTAGAAAAGCTATTGATCCAATGGAGGTCTTATCTCTTGTCGGAGGTTCTCTTTTATCTGCTACATTTGACTTGTTATTTGAAAGGTTGAATGGATATCTAAGTGATCAATTACGAAATTCAAAAGGGGAAGTATATGCCCAAATGGAATACTGGAAGACCTTATTGCCCAAAATTACTGCTATACTTGAACATGCAGAAGAGAATCAAAAAAACCAATCGGTTCGTGAAGTTATGTCTTGATGATCTCAAGGACTTGGCTTATAATATGGAAGATATACTTGAGGAGTTTGTGATTGATACCAAGAGGGCCAAATTGATTGCAAAATCTAAAGCTAGCACTAACAAGGGACAGAAAGTCACCTCTTGTCTCAAGAATATATTTAGATTTAAGGCTAAGTCCAATGAAGAGATTAATTGCAGGTTGAAGGATATAACTAGCAGATTGCAGCAAATTGAGAAGGACATGCATACTTTGGGCCCAATCAATTCGGCTATAAGAGATAAAAAAGAGTCTCATCCAACTACAGAAAGACTACCTGAGTCTTCTCTTCTTGAAGATAAGGTGATAGGTCGAAATAGTGATAAAGATGCTATTCTTCAGAGGTTGCTAGAAGATGGAGGTAGTCTTGAACAAGACTTTGTTATTCCCATTGTCGGAATGGGTGGACTAGGCAAGACAACTCTTGCTCGACTCATTTACAATGATGAAAAACTAAAAGGCAAGTTTGACTTAAAGGCATGGGTTTGTGTTTCTGATGAGTTTGATGTTGCTCGAATAACAAGAACCATTTTTGAACATGTAAGTAGGAAAAGTTATGACTCTGATTTTGGTTTGCTTCAAGAGAAATTGAGAGGGGCATTGTCTGGGCACAAGTTTCTTATTGTATTAGATGACGTTTGGAATAAGGACTATGGCCAATGGGATGTCTTGAAGAGACCTTTCATGTCAGGAGCTCCTGGAAGTAAAATAATTGTCACAACTCGAAATAAGGATGTTGGAATGATGATGAGAGGAGATGATGGAGTTTACAATCTAG